CCCCTTCCCCTCCCCCCGGGCCGACGCGGAAACGCCCGGCTTCCCCCGGCTTCCCGGCCCGGCCCGGGCCCCCAGCTCTCCCCCTGTCTGGGTCCCCCCTGGGCGGGGCAGGGCCGGCCGGGGAGGGGGCGCGGGGCCTTTGTTAGGGAGCCAGGCCCCAGCCCCCGGGACAATAGAGACACCCTCCCGGACTCCTCTCCCCGGCCGGCTGGGGCTGTCGGCGGGCGGGGAAGGAGAGGGGCCGGGACGCGTCCCACTCTGCCCACTCTCTAGGGGTCGGTCTGTCCCGGACCGGCGCCGGCCTCGGGCGGCTCGGCTCTCCTCCCCCCAGTCGGTATGATGCAGCAGCAGTGCCGCAGGGACGGGGGAAGAGCCGAGGCCCGGCCTCCTACCCTCCCCAGTGCCCCTGGCTCATTTGTCAGTCCCCACCCCACTCTAGGCCGGCAGCTCCTTAAACTCGTACCCACCGTTCAGAGGGGCCCCGGACTGTGGGCGCTGTTTCTGAATCCTTTGGTGGGGATTCCTGGACTTTGGGGCTCTTGGAGAGACTTCCGGGCTGGTCCTGAGGGAGGGAGGGTGGTTATCTAAAAGGAGAACAGGTAAGGGGAGTGCCCACTCCCGGCATGCCATCCCAGCCGGGCTCTATCCCCTCTTCTTGCTCATGGTGGCTAGAAATGCTCCTTCAGCTCTAGGTTTCTGTGGGCTCTGCTCCCCTTCTGTAGTCACAGGCTTATTTCAGGGGAAGATAGAGTGGGGTGAAGGTTGTAGGGTTCTAGGGCCATTCCTACTTCTGGTAGCAGTACCCCCCCAAGTGGACATCCTGGCTGAAAGCAGAGGTGACTCTGAGGAGAGCCTAGGGAAGGGGGGGGGTGTATTTAGGAGTCTGTGCAGTTCTTTGCCACACCCTGTGGGTTTGCTTTGAGGCCTTAGAGTTCCTTCTCCTCCCCCTGCTGCATTGCACCATGGGTATCGAAGAGGGGTTTGAGTTTGGGGGACCTGGGTGAGCTGCTGCCTCCTATAGACCCAGACTTTGACTGGTGGCAGGGTCCAGGGCCCGAGTTCAGTCCTGGGAAGGACTAGGCCACCTTTGGGTTTCAGGCCCTGAAGGACCATCCGGACTTAGTGAGCCTAGGCCTTGGGGAGGGGTATATCCTGATGGCAGGAGTAAGCTCCGGGCAGTGGGGTGCAGAGGGGAGGTGGCGGTCTGCAGAGGTGCTTGGCCTCACACCAACACCCCCCACCCCCATGTGTGCAGCCGTGTTGCCGCCCGCTGTGCTATGAGCAGTCAGAGCGCCGTCTCCACAAGAGTTTACAAATGAAAATGGAGGAAATGTCTTTGTCTGGCCTGGATAACAGCAAACTAGAGGTGAGGGCTCCCCCACGTGTGCCTCTAGTTCTTTCTCTTGATGTCTCTACGTCGCTATATCTGGCGTTCACACCAAAGAGGAATTTGGGTAGTCAGCCTGGTTCCTTAAAGGGAATAGCCAGCTGAAAAGGCCCAAGGATCTGGAAGAAGAAAGGACGCGACGTCAAGACGGGGAAAATGGCAAAGAAAGCATTATCTTTGGCCAGGGTGAATTGACAGGTTTGGTTGGTGAGAGTTGCTCTCAGGCCAGGGGGCCGTGACCCTCCTGACCGCGGATGTTCTCCCCTGGGCCCAGGCCATAGCTCAGGAGATATACGCGGACCTGGTCGAGGATTCTTGTTTGGGATTCTGCTTCGAGGTACACCGGGCTGTCAAGTGTGGCTACTTCTTCCTGGACGACACGGACCCTGATAGCATGAAGGATTTTGGTGAGCTTCAGGGTTGAAGGAGAGCCGTCCGGCCCCTGCCCCGGGGATCCTTGGAAGTTCCTCCTCTGGAAACTGCACCAGATAGAGCGCCTGGAGCTCCTGTGAGCCTAGGCAGGGGGTTTCAAGAGGCCACGGGCGGGGAAACAAGAGGTGAGGGTCCCCTGCCTGCCCTGATCGCCACGCCTCTCCTGTCCCCAGAGATCGTGGACCAGCCGGGGTTGGACATCTTTGGACAGGTTTTCAACCAGTGGAAGAGCAAGGAGTGTGTCTGCCCCAATTGCAGCCGCAGTATTGCTGCCTCCCGCTTCGCTCCCCACCTGGAGAAGTGCCTGGGAATGGGCCGGAACAGCAGCCGCATCGCCAACCGCCGGTGAGGGCTTCGGGCTTCTGCCGCTCCTAGACCCAGAGCTGCTGGGCTCGTCTCTCGCACCCTGGGCCGCGGCGTTGGGGCCTTGGTAGGGCACAGAGGGTGGCACGTGCTTGGCCTCTGTGGCCAGGGGCAGAGAGAGGTGGCCGCCTTGACCCTTTGTCTTCCCTTCCGTTGGCAGGATTGCCAATAGCAACAATATGAACAAGTCCGAGAGTGACCAAGAGGATAACGATGACATCAATGATAACGACTGGTCCTATGGCTCAGAGAAGAAAGGTGTTTGGGGATCTGGGGAAGCTGGGGTGGGTGGGCATCAGGGTGAGGTGGGCAAGTGGGAACTGGGTACATAAGGGTCACAAGTTGTTATATTGGATGAGGAGGGGAGAATGTAGCTTTGTGTGTTTCCATGGGGGTCCTTAGATTGAGAACTTAAAGTGACCCTGCCCTCTGGTTTTTGTCTTCTTCAGCCAAGAAGAGAAAATCAGACAAGGTGAGAGCTGGGGCAAGCATGAGGGAAATTTGGGCGAAGGACAGATACCCTCCCCTTTGGGCAGGGAGTCCTCTGGTATCTTGACTCAAGTCTGAGGTCCATGGGGTGCCTCTCTGGGTTTTGGGATGAGGGTGTCTGTGGTGGGCTGGAGGGCAGCAGAGGCCTTGGGGGAGTAGGGGAGGAGGGAATATTGGTAGGTGGGCCTCTTACTGGGGAGGAAGAGTAGGAATTTGAGGATGTTTCTTTGTCAAATCTTTTTTCCTTCCCTGGGTTCTCGGCTCCCCCTTATCGTTACCCTTTCCCCAAAGCTGTGGTATCTCCCATTCCAGAACCCCAATTCCCCTCGAAGATCCAAGTCTTTAAAACACAAAAATGGTAAGTGGGGCTTGAACGATGGGGGTGGTTCTAGCTGCGTCTGCTGGGACTCATTGCTGGAGGGGGGAGGTGGGGGGCTGAGGGGGACAGGGGTATCGAGGGAGGGCCTGTGATCCTTCTGTCACCCCCACTTCCTCTCTGGTTATTTTCAGGGTTCTCTGTCTGTACCTCTGCATCAAACACCCTTCCCCTTCTTTTTTCTTCTTCAGGGGAACTTAGCAATTCGGATCCTTTTAAGGTGAGTAGGTGCTGCCCCTCTCAGGTTTTCTCTTGTTTTCCTTGCTGTGAGCTGGGTGGGGTTTGGACAGGTGGGGATCAGAATGCCGATGCCGGAAGCACTAGATGGGGTATTTCGGTCTTGCATATTTATGTTCTTGCTGGGTCCTGGCCCCTCCCCGACGTGCCGGTGGGATGGGCAGAATCACTGGAAAACCGCTGGGCTGGTCGTAGGCCTTCCCACATAGAGACGGATAAGAGAGACTGGTTCCCCCCACCCATCCGGCCCTTCCCCCCTCCCTCTGGGGCTGCCTCTTCTCTGACCTCTACTCTTGGTTCTCCCCCAGTATAACAACTCAACTGGGATCAGCTACGAGACTCTGGGGCCGGACGAGCTGCGTAACCTGCTCACCACGGTGAGAGACCAGGGAAGGGGAGGCCCTTGGGAGTGGGCTGGAGCCACAGGCAGTGGTCACATCCCTGGAGGGGGGGGATGGTGACAGCAGTCAGGGCCACGTAGCTCGCTCTCTCTGGAATCAGGTTTCCTGGCCGGTGGTGGTCTGGGACTGTCCTGGACACCTTGGGGCCACTTCTGTTTGTGCAATGCAGCATTTTTACAGAAGAGAATATCTAGCGTCTAGAGTGGGCTCCCTCCATCCCTCCTTTCAGCTTCTATTTCTCTTCCAGCAATGTGGGGTGATTTCTGAACACACCAAGAAGATGTGCACAAGGTGAGCTCAGAACCTAGAAAGGGGGCAGGGGGCCCTCCTGCACACTCACCCTGGGCATGGGTCGGGAGTACCCTTGGACTTGAGCAGTGGGGCTCCCACCCTTCCCCTCCCTCCTCTCATGGTCAGGCCTTGGGCCACAATCTGGGGGCACTCTGTTTATCCCTTCCCGGTCTGAGTCCATTCCTCCTGCCTCTGCTGAGGAAAAGGGGCTTCACCTGAGGTCCTCAGACCCTTCGTGCCTTGTCAGGCTCTGATTAATTCTCTCCCCACCAGGTCCCTGCGCTGCCCCCAGCACACAGATGAGCAGCGGCGAGCCGTGCGGATTTATTTCCTCGGACCCTCAGTGTAAGGGACCCTCCAAGGAGGGTGGTGGGTTGTGGAAGATCAGGATGATGATTGGTATCCCTAAAGCCCTTCTTTGACCCCTCTCCTTTCCAGCGTCCTTCCAGAGGTCGAGAGTTCCCTGGATAATGACAGCTTTGACATGACTGACAGCCAGGCCCTGATCAGCCGGCTTCAGTGGGACGGCTCCTCTGATCTCTCACCCTCTGATTCAGGCTCCTCCAAGACGAGTGAGAATCAGGGATGGGGTCTAGGTAGGTGATATATCTGGGCCCCACGGGCTTTCTGCCCGAAGCCAGGGTTGTGGGGACACCTGTGTTCTCCTGACACAGCCCAACCCTCATCCCTGGTGCCTCTTTCTCTTCAGGTACCAACAGCTCTGAGTCACGGAAAACCAAGAAAAAGAAATCCCATCTGAGCCTGGTAGGGACTGCCTCCAGCCTAGGCTCCAACAAGAAGAAGAAGCCAAAGCCACCGGCACCCCCGACGCCCAGCATCTACGATGACATCAACTGACTTGGGTGCAGGGATAGCCTTTGGCTGAGCAGAGCCCTCTCTCCCAACCCCCACCCAGGTGGCAAAGCCTGGCAAATGGACGGCTGCTGGGGGTTTGGGCTTGGGAAGCTTGGTGGGCCAGGCAGGCAGAGGATCCAATTATGCACCCCTGGGGGGTGTCAGGGTCCTCTGCAATGGAGCACGACCCCTTGGCATGCAGGACTCAGACCTGGACATATTATGCCTTGGACATAAGTTTGGTGGGGAGGCGGTTTTCCTATTTATTCTGTGAGTTACTGGATGTCCAGCTAGGCCAGGGGCCTGACCTGGGCACTGTGCCAGGGCACTGCCTGCCCCCCACCCCAGGAACTGGACTAAGCCCTGCCGAGAAGCATCGTGGCTACCCGGGAGGCTGTGGGTTGGAAGCTGAGCCTGGAGGGGGCCTCCCCCAGCTGCCCTCAGCAATGTGAATGGGTCCGGTGCTTGGAGCTGAGGGGCAGGGCTGGGCGTGTCCTGTCTGTGTGCAGAATCCTATCACATGCCCCCAATCCCAGGGGTAGGCAGGCACATCAAGCTGTCTGCTGAGGTGGGCGTCCAGAGCTGCCACCGCCTTCCCTGCCCCCCACAGGGGCAGCCCTTTCCCCTCAGTCCCCATGGGCCTCCTTGGCAGCGGGAGCTGTCCTTTTGTTGTTGGGTGCCAGGAAAGGGCCTCCAGCCTCCACAGCTTCAAGGAAGGGGCTAAGGGAGGGTAGGAAGAGGGAGCTGTGTATCAAAATGACTCCCCTCCCCCTACCTTTCCTCCCTGACCCAGGGCTGGTGAGGAGTGGGGCCCCAAGGTGAGAGGGAACGGTGCTGCTTTATTTGAAATGTTTTCTTACCTCATTCCCTGCCCCAGGAAGGGGCCCAGCCTCACCCTCCTGGGGTGGCCCCATGTTCCTCCCGCCTACCCTGCCCCGCTGCCCTAGCAGGGCAGTCCAAGTTCCCAACTGCTGCTTGCTACCCCCCTCCTTCACCTTGACCAGCTTCAGTTCCTCTCTCGATGCTCCTGCCTCTGAAGCCTGCCCTGTTTCCCCTTCCTTAGCCGCTTTTAAGTTATTTATTCTGTACTTGTGGTTTGGGGCTCTGAGGAAAATCCTGATCTTTTACCTCTCCCCCTTTGCTAGGAGTTGGGGTGGGAAGAGGCTAGTCTCTGTGCTCTGGGTTGTCAGTAGAGGGGTGTCGTGCCTAGGCATTGCCCCTCTGTGGGACTATCATGCCAGTGTGCCCACCTGCCTGGTCTACATCCCGAAGAGATGTACTGTCCCACCTCCACGTGGGCACCATCGCTCCCAGGAGCCGAGCTGGAGGACTAGTCTGGGCTAGGAGCAGAGCTGACTGACACAGGGATGGAGTTGAGCCTGAGCCATGTTCTCTGGCATTTGCTGGATGTGAACCCTGCCCTCTTCCCACGAGGAGCCATCCCACATTTGGGTAGCTAGTACCCAGGACTGGTTGGACTGATTTGGGTTAGGGACCCTAGAGGGTTAAGGGAACAACGAGAGATGGGGCTGCAGTACCCTGTCTGGAACCCCAATCTCCCCCTGGGGTGGTTCGGATTGTGGCTGATGCCTGGTTACAAATTGGTTTTTAACCCAAGAATTGTGATTATTTTTTAAAAAGCCAAACAGATTTTGGCAGGAGTTAGAATAAATCCTGGGGCCTGGGCTCCTCTGTTCTTGACCCTCCAATGTCTTCTCCCTCTAAGGGGAAGCCAGAGGGAAAGGAGGATTTCAGCCAGCCTCCAGCCTGCTTCCAATGAAGTTTTGGGAGTGGGTTGAAGGTGAAGGGAGGAAGGCCATGGGCCATTCTCCCTTCCGAGAGGCAGCTGCAGCTCAGGCCCTACCATACCCTTTCCCCTCTGGCCTCTCCCTTTCCCCCCCTCTGGTTAGAGGAGGGAGAAGTGGGAAGTAGTTTGGGAACTGGTTTGTCCACATCCACTTCCCCATTGTTCCTTGGCCCGCCCTCAGGGCAGAGCCCCCTGCCCAAGCTGGGTAAGAGATGGGCTTGGTCCAGCAGGGACCCTGAGGGAGCAAACCCCTTTCCTTCTGGGGAGAGTGTGCCCCCCCTACCATGTAGTTGAACAGGGGCTAGGAGCTCTCCACTCCCCTCCCTCGAACAGCAGGCTGTGTGGGTTTCAATTCCCATCCTTCCCACCCCGGCTAGGTGTCGTCCACCCTGTATCCTATCATGTGTCTGAGTGTGTGTGGGGGGGTTCTGTACTAATTTCCATGGCCGGTGGCTTTTCCTTCCATGCATCACTCCCCCCCGCATGCCCAGGGGCCACCCGCCTGGCATTACCGCATGCTGGGGTCATTGGGGGAGGGGGGAGGGGCTCACGCTGTCCTGTGGTCTTGAGATTTTTATTTTTGCATATGTAATCCATCCTGTACAGGTAGCTAACTTTGTAAACGCTGTGTATTTCCCCTGCCCCCATGGCTGCTGGTGTAAATAAACTGCATCTCCCGTTGGTAGCCCGGCCTACCCACCCTCATTACCATGTTGACGGGGGCAGAGCAAAGCCATTCTCTTAATGTCACAGGAGGCGGCTCCACAGCCACAAAATGGAACTTTATTTAGTCACAGACACTGACCCTCCATCCAAGAACCCCAGAGGCAAGGGCCTGGGGCCCAGGGCTCCATACCCAGAGCTCGTCCTTGGAGCTGGGCAGGGCAGGACACTGGCTGAGGGCCAGAACTGTCTCTCGCTTACAGCCGTAGGCCTAGGGCAGCAGCAGCTGTGGCTTGGCCTCTCCCAATGCTGGGGGCTTGGCTTTGTGCCCCAATCCCCTTTCTGACTGAGCTCTATAAAGGACTATTAAAAAAAAAAAAAAAAAAAAAAGCAAAGTGCTTTCAAAAAAGGGGAGAACACTGGAAACTATCCAGAACACAGAGAACACCCTATTCCTGCTACAGGGGTGGAGGGAGAAGGTAGAGGCGGCTAGGTGCCTATATGGAAAGCAGACGCGACCTTCACTCCTGCTGCGTGACTTTAGTCTCAAAAGATGGATACTCCCTTAAGAAACAGAAAAATACTCAGGCTCCCTACAGAAATATGCTGGGGCCATGCTGAGCTGCCCTGGCAGGCGGCCCTGGGTACCGAGGAGCAGACATGCAGGACAATGGAAAGAACTAGGGCCACAGCTGGGAGGACAGAGCCCAGGCTCCCCACTGAGCTGGGCTACCAGCTCAGCTCTGAACTTTAGGACCCTAAAAGGGAAGGAAGATGACATCCTCGTTTCTACCTGAGTTGTGCTTGCACAGAGATGGGACGTCTGTACCCTTGTGGACGTGAAGGGGAGGCCCTGTACCTGCCTCCTATGTCCTATGGAGGAGGACCTGCCACATCCTTTCCACCCGTCCCTCCCAAGCCCTTGGGCCCAGCTCCGGCCAGGAAAGGAGGGAGGCCCTAAAGGAGGAAGACCATGCCTTTCATTTTCTCCCTATGTCCTTATCGTCCATACATCCCAAATACTAGGAAGCTGAAGAAGACAGTGACCCCCACCAGGGAGACCGTGGCAGGTGCTGTGAAGAACTGGCGGTAATTGATACGGAAGTACCAGACCACACCCAACAGCACCACAAACACAGGCACCATGAGGCTGCCCACACTGACGCCGAGGCTGGGGGGTTCAGTGGCTGAAGAGGGGGCCAGGGAGGCTGAAGGGCCTGGAACAGCCGACCCTGGGGGTGAGCGGTGGCAGTGAATCACACAGTTGTCGGTAATGTTCAGGGAACGCAGTGTGCGGGCCGGGTCCTGCAGTAGGCGGCCCTGGTAGATCAGTTTCATCTGGCTTTCTTGTCCAGGGAAGTACTTACTGGAAGGATGAAAGGATAGAAGGAAAGACAGAAGGCGACGAATGAGAAGGCAAACAGGCCTGGACCAACAAAACGGGGCAATGAGGGAAGAACTGAAGGGTGAGTTTCTAAGAAGTATCCCACCCACCCCTAGTGGGGGCTGGACCTGATACATCCCTGCCGCTCCCAGGTGGATACCAGCCTCCTCTCAGGTGACCAAGGGCTGAGGGCATGGGGTATGAGCAGCCTCCCACTCTCCAGTCCACTCACCTCTTCAGGGCACCCACAGTATCCTCCGGCCTGGCCACAGCCAGCTCCTCGGTGTCATTGAGGAATTTGAGCCGCACACTGATGAGGCCAGGGCTGGGAGGGAGGCAGCTGCTATCCTCAGATCTCAGAGGGGCCTCTGGACTGCTGCTTTCTGGGCCTGCTTGTCTTTTGGGAAGGCCCTGGATGTCAAGCAGATGCTCAAGGCTCGGCTCAATACCACCCCCAGCTCCAGGCTCCCCTGTGGAGTCTCCCCCACCTTCGCCAGCCTCTTCAGCCTTCTCATCATTACCCTCGGATGGACGGGGGAGTTCGGTTGGCTCTGGGGTGCCTTGGCCTGCCACTAGATGGTCCACATGCCCCAGGTGGAGGACGGATGTGTCTCCAGCTGACACAATGGTGCCCAGGAGCTGGTTGCTACCGCTGTCTGCTACGTAGGTAGAGAGCCAAGCTAGGACTAAGGCTAGAATCAGCACCACCACACCTGCCAGCACAGTCACCTCATTGCCCACACCCTCAATGAGGGTGACGTCAGAGAACTCCATGGCCTGGCTGCTGACTGCGTCGACACTGCAGGAACAAAGGGGGATAGCATCAGCAGGGTACGTGGGGTTGCAACCGGGTTTCTAGTTTGTTTCGGTCCTAACTGACTCAGCCCTGAAAGAAAATGGAGCTCAGTGTCCTATGGAAGAGGGAACAAACCTTCCTTCCTCTGGACCCCTAACCTAAAGCTAAGGACTTACCCTTTGCCTCTATTGTGAAACACTAGCTTTCAGGTTCCACATCCTTCCTCTCTCACATTTCGAGCTCCCAAAGAGCATGGATCATCAGGAAAATCTCATGGCCTTGTTGGGGCGACTGCTGCTGCCACTGGCTGTTGCTTTTTTGGTAGGTGGGAAAAGAAAAAACACTTGCTTCTTTGAGCCCTGAGTTTCTCTAGGATTTCTATCACTTGCTCTAGCAGCCATGCCCCCCTGAGAAGCCTCCAAGGTGGCTTGAGAGAGACCAAAAAGCCCCAAATATTTTATCTTAGGGCCTTCTGGATGCATAGTGCAGCCACTCTTGCCAGACTGTCCCGTTTGAACCCTACCTCATTCACGGTCACGTTTTCAGGTTCAGATGTCAAGATCCAAAAAATTAATTTTTCATCAGAAGCACAGTCAGACCACCCCAAAGGGACACATCTGTAGGGGCCATCAGCAGACATTATGCAGCAGGGACCGTGTCTGCCACCTCTGAAACTCTTCTGACAAGTCCCAGGGAGCTAAGGAGGACAGACACCAGAAACACCGCCCTCCTGGGTCACCATAGGTTCGCAGCTGCAAAACCACTAAGTGGAAAGGATTTGGAAAAGATTCCAAAATAGCTCTCATAATCCATATCCCTATCTCTCTTCGTGTACTGTGTAGTTTCTCCCTTGGCAGTTTCTTAGAAAGGCAGGAAGGACCTTAGAGTACCTACTCTTTCCCTCGGAGAATGTGTGGCTTTCACAGCTGTCCCCGGGGCAAATCCAATCAGATGATTATCATTAACAGACTACTCTCACAATACCTATAAAACTTCATTATACTCTTCCACCTGTCCATCTCTCTCTACGAGACTTCTGGAAGACAAGGATCACGTGTATTTTTCTATGTACCCTAGTGCCCAGCATAATGCCATACTCGCTGCTCAAAGAATATTTGTGGAACATATCAACATCTGAATAGCTTCCACATCCTTATTTAGAACATGGGCCCTGGAGTAAAAAACAAAAAAACAAAAAACCTGATTATAATCCTGGTCTTGCCCCTTACTAGCTCTGTAAGCTCGGACAACTTTCTCAGAGCCTCAGCTTTCTCATCAGTAAAATGGGGTTAAAAATAGTACCTACCTCATAAGGTTGTTTTGACGGTGACGGGAAATCATCAAAGCAAAATACTTAGCACAGTGTCTGGCACATTGCAATGGTTCAGTAAATAAATGGTAGCAATTACTTATCGCTCCCACAACTAGCCCCTAATGGTAAGGATGGTTAATGTCACCCACCCTAATTCACAGACAAGGAAACTGCGGCTAACAGAAGCGAAAACGACTGGCACAGACACAGGGCACTTTCGTGGGCAGGGGCCGGGCAGGACCCCTGGTCTCCCGCCTCAGAGGCCTTTGGTGTCTCCTCAGTCTGTGGGCGACCCTGACGCGCGGTGAGAAGGGGTCCCGACCCTGCCTTTTCTGAGGCGAAGGCTCCGCGTGGGGCGGCCCTATTCCCGCGGCGCTGGAGAGGAGTCGGTGGGCCCACCCGAGACGAAACGCTACCTGGTCCCTGGCGGCCAAGCTCAGTTCTCCCAGCCCATAGGGATAGAGTCCGGTGAGGGGGGTCACAAACCATCCACACCCCTCAAACTTCGGGGCGGGGCTGGGCACGTGGGGGCGGGGCTTGCGTACGCGGGGAGTCATGGGAAATTAAGGGGGATTGGACCGGTACTGTGCCTGGATAGGGAAGGAGGTCCTCACCTGAAACGGCCAGACTAAGTATTTTGACTTCGCCAGGACGGCCCATGGACTCACCTTTCCGTAGGGGCCGGGGGAGGGGCTGGCTATCCCCGATTCTGTCCAGGGTCTCGTCTCTTCCGGCTTCTCCCGGAAGCTGTTTGAATCAGACAGGAAGTCCCGCCTCCGCGCTCTGCACCGATGACGTTAGTCTACGTAAGGCGGGCTGACGTAAACGTGTTCTTTAAAAGGGACAGGTTTCTCAGCGGAAGGAGGGGCGGAGTTATTGTTGGCGGGATCGTCGCCCTCCGGGGGCGGGGCCACGCTCACTGGGCGGGGCCTAAGCGGCCCATGGGTGAGGGGCGGGACTACATGGGGTTGGGGGAGGTGCTTGGGAGAAGGCGTGGCTTCACCTCTGGAAGACCGGCGTGCGGGCCAAGCTGGGCAGAACGTGAGCGGCGTTTCCCTCGTACCGGCTTCTTCTTCCGGCCTTGTTCCCAGCCTCCAGAGCTGATTGGATTTATTACTGCTCTGTAACGCGCATTGAGCGGGATCAGTAGGAACTGGTCTCTCTGACCTCCAAAAGTTCAACTCAGGGCTAGTCAGGAGACAGGAGGCAATTTAGTTACCGTCCGGGTGCTCCCGAGAATGCGGCCCCAGCCAGTGTGGGACCTTGGTAAATAAGGTCAGACAGAAAGCCTTTCAAAGAAGGCACGGATTCAGTGCAGGCTTAAGGCACAAGAAAAGGAGCCCAGAAGAAAAGAGGAAAAAAGTTCAGCTCCCAAAAACTTAGCCGGATTTTTGCAATTAAAATTCTTTCAGGGGGCCTGGCTGGCTCAGTCCAGGTGGAGAGTTCGAGCCCCACGCTCGTCCTAGAGATTACTTAAAAGATTTTGGGGGAGCCGCCCATGTGTGGCTCAGTCCGTTTAGCATCGGGCTC